TTTTTTTTTCCCAAATAGAGCTTCACTCTGTTGCCCAGGCTGGAGTGCAGTGGTGTGATCTCGGTTCACTGCAACTTCTGCCTCCAGGGCTCAAGCGATTCTTCCTGTCTCAGCCTCCTGAATAGCTGAAATGCTGGCGCCTACTACCATGCCCGGCTAATTTTTGTATTTTTAGTAGAAACGGGGATTCGCCATGTTTGCCAGGCTGGCCTCAAATTCCTGACCTCAAGTGATCCACCTGCCTCCCCCTCGCAAAGTGCTGGGATGACAGGCACAAGCCACTGAGCCTGGCCAGGTTATTTGTAATCTTAATTTTTAAGGTTCTTATAAATTTAATAAGGTAAAGATAATATAAAAATGGGCAAAATATTTTGAACTAGAAGTTTGTATTCAAAAAGTTCAAATGATGAAGAAAAAAGAAATGACAGTATTATTTTTTGAACTACTAAGTTGGCAAAATTACTGAATAATGCCTCCTATGCCAAATGAAGATGTAAACATATGTTTTTAGAGTATAATTTTTCATAAGCCTTCAAATATACATAATCCAGGAATTAATGTTCAAAGAACATTACCAGTTGAGGATTCCTAATCCGAAAATCCAAAATCGCCAAAATCTGAAAGTTTTTGAGTGCCAACATGACACTCAAGGAAAACTGGAACATTTTGAATTTTGAATTTCCAGAGTACAAATACTCCACTGGAATATAAAAAATGTAAATATTCCAAAATCCACAACTTCTGAAATAGAAAACGTTTCTGGTAAAGCATTTTGGATAAGCGCTACTCAACCTGTAATTAAGGACATGTATAAATATGTAGCTTACAAGGACATTCATGTTGTGATCACTTTTAATAATGAAAAACTGTAGCTAATGCCTATGTTCAATTTGTTGCCCTACTTCTTATCTTAACCTAGGTGCCCCTAGAAACAGATCCTAAGAAAAAGATTTGCATACAGTTAATTTTGATGATTCCAAAAAACACCATTAACAGAGTGGTATGCAAGACAGAAAAGAAAGACACTAGAAGATGTGTTGTCAAGCAAATTACTGCTGTTGTCAACTCAAATTTAATCGTGCAGAGAAACTCTAGGAACCAGGGTGGAACACATACCTCAGAATTATCCTACCCTAAGAGGTGAAGATGCTGGGTTATCTTTCCATTAATTCCCTCAGTCATTCTAGTTCCACATTAGCCTTCAGATGAAGGCTGCTGGGGCTGGGGGAGAGGACTTTAATTCCCTGGCATTACACTCTGGCCCCATTTGCAGACAGAATGGATTCTTGTAGCCAGGGAAAGCTTTCACTTTCAGGCAGAGAATTTACAAATGTTGGCAGATGGAAGCTGGGCCTGCATGTACGCAAATGTGAAGTGCCAAAGGATGTAAGTAGTGGTATCAATAGCATCAGCTACATCTTCCCTACCTAAAACCTCTGTTATCCACTATCAAGGGAATACAGAAGCAACATCCTGTAGTGGTTAAGAGCATGGACCCTAAGGTTAAAATTTTGCCACTTCCCAGTATGACCGTGGGCAAGCAACCTGCCAATAATCACTTTGGTCCTGGGAGTTCTCATTTATAAACAACCCTATCCTCACATCCCAATTACCTCCTAAAAGCCTCACCTACGAATACCATCATACTTGGGATTCAGTTTTAACATACAAGATTTGTGGGGACACAAACATGTAGTCCATTGCAAGAACTGTATGTCTTGACATTTCATGATATAAAGTAAGTTCTCTTCTGCTGCTCCTGTGAACAGTACCTCCTGCTGGTGGTGTCATGGTGGCTGAGGTGGTCTTTTGTGAAGCAAAAAGGAGAAAAGGGTCTCTCTTTTATCTGCACTCTGTTAGAGGAATCTTACATTAGTGTTGCTCATACTGTAATGTGTTAAAGGAGTTAAACAGCCCCTTCAGCATGTACTCATAGTCCTCTTTTGCACTAGAACTTAGATATACATCCTGAGTGATGGAAACACTTTTGTGAAGGGAGGACCAGACATTGTGAGGTCATTTTATGCCTAGAGTAGGAGAGAGAAGCAAATAAAGGGGAAGCAGAGCTATCAGGGTAATTCTTGCTAGCATTCACTATATACCGAATCTAGTAGCTCCTTGATCTTGGATGCCCAGCTTCCAGGACTGTAAGACATACATTTCTGTTGTTTATAAGCTACCCAAGTCTATGATTTTTTCATTATAGCACACCAAACAAACTAAGACAATATTAAGTGCTGTTTGAAAATGAACAATGGGTTGGGCATAGTGGCTCATGCGTGCACAGAATCCCAGTAGTTTGGGAAGCCGAGGTGGATGGATCACTTGAGGTCAGAGGTTTGAAATGAGCCTGGCCAACATGGTGAAATCCTGTCTCTACTGAAAATACAAAAATTAGCTGGGCATGGTGGCAGGTGCTACCGGGAGGCTGAAGCAGGAGAACTGCTTGAACCCAGGAGGCGGAGGTTGCAGTGAGCCTAGAACGCGCCATTGCACTCCAGCCTGTGTGATAAAAGTGAAATTCCATCTCAAAAAAAAAAAAGGAAAAAAGAAAAAAGAAAAGAAATGAAATGCTTAATGTTTGCTTGCTGAATGAGTAAATAGTGCTTAGAACTTTAAAACACTTTTCAATGAAAACTACACTAGAAGTAAAGATTATACCTTCAGACAAGTTCATAAATCTATGATCTATAACATAGCTGAATAATTTGTTCACTTAGTGTTTCATTTTTTTTCTATTATTCATTCAGAAGGCATTTTCTGAGTATATGTTATGTGATGTATTTAAAACATAACTCATGAATGCAAAAAAAGAACAAATGGTCTTGGCTCTGGAAAAGTTTAGAAATATGGAGAAGAGACAAGCAAATTAAGAATGATGATAAGTTCTTATTATAAGTATAGGGAGTGAAGTGTTGTTTGGGAGGGATTAGTGTTATATTAGGAAAGGAATGCCAAGAAGGTGAATTTGGGCTAATTCTGTTTTTTGAGACAGGGTCTTATTTCTATAGCTCAGGCTCAGGCTAATGCTTAAAGAAAAATACAATAGAGGTGAGGGAGATGACAGGAAATGAGGATAGAGAGTGAGGCTCCATCTTTTAAGCAAAGGAGTCTGGATTATGAGGAGCCCTTTAAGCAGGGAAGTGATGTTTATAAACCTTACAACTCAGGATTCCAAAGTTTAAAATGAATAAGGACTTCGTGAAGACCCATAATTCATCCTGAAAATATAAGTGATATTTTGTATTATCTACTGAACAAATTATCTACATGACTGCTTTTATCCATTAGCAGAGATAATCAGGAGGTTACTGTCCTTCCTATGTCTTGCCTTAACATTGAATCTTAATGTAATTACTGTAAGTGGGACTTAGTAATATATTTACTTGTTTATTTGAGACAGTCTCTCTCTCTCTGTCGCCTAAGCTGGAGTGCAGTGGCACCATCTTGGCTCACTGCAACCTTCACCTCCTGGGGTCAAGATATTCTCCTGCCTCAGTCACCCTAGTAGCTGGGATTACAGGAGTGTGCCACCAAGCCCAACTAATTTTTGTATTTGTAGTAGAGATGGGGTTTTGCCATGTTGGCCAGGCTGGTTTTGAACTCCTGGCCTCAAGTGATACACCTGCCTTGGCCTCCCAAAGTGTTAGCATTACAGGTGTTGAGTCACAGTGCCCAGCCTGTGTTGTTTTATATATCAGAGCCTTGTGAGCTCAATTTTTATTTTATGTAAATAACTTAAAACTTGCTATATTATCCAAACAGGACAACAGCACTAGCAGCAGTTTTTCAGAACGATTTTTCTACATTTCAAACCCATTTTACTCATAATTATTTGAATTTTTCTAAATTGGTAAAATCATTTGAAGAAATCTTGTCTAAATGACTTTGTAATAGCTCATATGTTTGTATTATAAATGGAATGCAACTATCTTTTCTTATTAAAAATAAGAACTTGCTTTTTTGGGGTATGACATTTCTTGCAATAAACTGAAAGAAACAATGTCTGTACTTTTACCAACTCAGTGTTAATCTAGGATAAGTCACAACTCTGACCTTTGGGGTCCTCCTCTGTAAAATGAGAAAACTGAACTAGTAGACCTTTATGATTTCTAATTTTTTTTTTTTCATTCTAATGATCTGGAGCCTGGCAGAATTGGAAGCAACTTACATTCTGGTTTCAGGAATACATGAGTTCAAATATTGCTCTAACTAAAGTTCAGAGCATTGTTTAACTTCTTTAAATTTGGAAAATGGGGATATTAAAACATGCCTAAAAGTGCTATTGTGTGGATTAAATGATGGCTTTTTTTTTCTTTTTCTTTTTCTTTCCTTAGAAGTAGGGTTAAGGTAAGATTTGTTTAGTGATTTGACTCAGGGACATCTCCGCTAACTAAGTAGAAATATTTCATATATGTGGGATCTACAATACTGACTTGACTTTTTTAAAAAAGTTAAATCTAAAAAGGCCAGAGAAATTTTGGGGAAATAATTATAAAACGAAAATGGACACGACTTCTTTCCCACTTCCCAACGTTACTGTTTGCGGAACATACGCAAGAACCATTCCATGCAAAGTTACACAGGACTGGAAGGAAGCAGGTCATGCTCTTCACTTGCCAATTCCATGGTGCAGAATAAAAACAAAACAAAATATTTAGTGTCCAGCATTCCGCTTGGGCAGTATTTACAACGAACACTTCAAGTTTTAACATTTAATCACTTCAAATTTAAAAACAAAATCACTGAAACAAATATCGCCAGATAAAAACCAACCCAATTTGCATTCTTCCTGCGTCCAATAATTACCTTCATCTAGAATGGGCCAAATATTCACTCTGCCAGGTCCTGGCGTCCCGGAATACCTTTGCGACAAAGGTGTCCTAAACGCTCCAGACCCTCCACATCTCCTTTCCCGCTTGAGGGGCCCGTCGGGCCCGGCCATCTGCCAAGCCTTTTGTGTCGTCTGGCTCGTGTTTCCTCCCCCGCGGAAATCTCACCTGCACGCCCTGCTGCTGGAGGCTCTGCGTGATGTAATCTAGACGGCGACAAACGCTCTTTTTGGCCTCGGCCGCCACCTCCTTGGTGCTGCTCACTCGCACCGCCACCTGCGCCCGATCCGGGCCCGCAGACACTTCTGCGGTGCCGCTTACGTGCACCTCGCGGGTCGCAGTTTGGGCTTGTGTTGAGGAGATGGGGTGGTGGAGGCCCGGTTGCGTCACTCCGCCTGAGGTCAGATTGTTCTCCCGGCCTCGATCAGCCCAGGGAACCAGTTCCACGAACACCCGGGTCGGAGGGGTCTTTTGCAGAGACATAGCGATGGCAGCTGGGTTTCCATAGTAACTGCCGGCAGACGGCGGCCGAAGGGGCCAAAGCGCGCCAGGGCTTGCCTGTGCGCCGCGCAAAGTATGCTGGGACGGGCGTGGAGGCCGCGGAGCTTCTGGCGGGCGCTAGCTACGCCCTGTTCATCTTGCCGCATCTTTTTCACTAGGTGCAGGCAGAGTGAGTAGTTACAGTTTTCAACATGTTTACCTTACGGCCTTCAAAAAATCTCAGCGGGCTTTCTCTGGCCTTATCAGTTAGCTCTGCCCTTTCTCGCAACTTTTGGGTGTCCCATCCGCACCTCTGCACCTCAGAGGGAGTTGGATAGCAGTAGTGAGGTCGAGTGGACTTTTAGATTTCCCTGTCCCGGGTCTGTGATTACCCCACCCTTGTGTTTTCTGACTTTACCGTCCCCGCTTGGGGTACAGCCTTTCTAGGCTTCCTCGGCTACGTTTTTGTGGTTCGTGACAGGTTTCTGTTGAGGTGAACTTTTTGCCCCTTTGATGTTGGATAGTTGGTGATACCTCGTATCTCAGTTTCATCTTCCCTAAAGCAATGTTGATAATATTTTTCACATTTGCTATGTTGCTTATACGGTGCCCACTGTATGTAAGAGTGCATTGCATAGGGAAAGCAAGAGTGAAAATAATGAATGTTTGTAATAATAGCTGTGGCTTTGGCATCGTTTTCCTGCCTCCCATTTGTTTATTTATTTATTTTTTTCTAAAAACTCTGGAATGGTTCCGGCTTTGAAATCGGACAGGAGAGATTTAGGTGGTATCAAAGCACGTCCAACATGGACATTGCTCAGCCTGTACAACTGGGAGCTTCTCTGTGCCCCTTTCTTGAGAGAACCTCAGAACACAGTCCTCAACTTTCTATGTTCTGGATAGTCTCCTAGCACTAAGCAATGATCTCTGTAAAAATAGCCCCACCGACTTATATGCCTTTACTATCTGAATTTTATCAAGCGAATCGAGGGGGAAAAAAGAATTTTGAATAGTTTTAGAAGGACAAGAACTGTTCTTTTAAAAAGAGCCTTAAAAAGCTGGCAGTCCTCTTATAGTTTCTAAACCATTGTTTTTTCTGTTCTTTTTGATTAGTGTAATTCAACTAAATCAGATCGTACTCCCTCCTTTAATTAGGCTCACCACTGGATTAACATAATTTTGTGTATATTCATTTTGTTTATTGTTAGCTGAAAACAAGTTTAATTTAAAAACTGTTAAGAAATTTCCCTCATAGTCTTTTATGATTTAAGACACCCAAAATAATGTTTCTTAAACTTGGTGGAAGATTATCTTTCTGGAAGAATATAGCCTCCAAAATAAATAATTGAATGAATGAATGTCCAAGTCTATTTAGTATATGATAACAGATTTCGTATCAGTGGAAAAGTGATTAAATGGTACAGAGATAATGGTAAGCTATATTTTAAAAAATTTCTATCTTACATCATACATTGAAAATAATTCAAGTGAGACCAAAGAGAATAATTGGACGAACGTATATATAAATATAAATATTCTGGTTGATAGGAAGGCTGGACTTAATCATAATTTCAAATGCAGCAACCATAAAGGAAAAGTTTGGAAAACTGGACTGTATTTTAAAAATATCAGATATTCAAAGCAAAATGAAACCAAGCAAAGGTGTGGGGGCATATACATTGCTATCTGTTAATGTTTACTGTGTATAAAGGGCTAAGAGTCTTAATGCTTAGAGAGCTGTTACTAGAAGAAATAAACATCTCAAAAGAAAAATAGAGAAAAAAACAACTCATTCTCCCTCGGTTTCGAGGTATTTAATAAAACGGAGTGACCAGGGGCAGCACTGAGATATGTGAGGATCCAGAGAAGATGCATTGCACCTGGGTCTTGAAGGACAGGTGAATAGGGTTTTTTTCTAGGACCTCTCTTCTGGTGGGGTGTGGAGAGAAGCAGCCTAGATACAGAGAACAGCACGGCTGAGGCCCAGCGATGGCAACAGCAATAACAACAACAACAAAATAAGAAAAATAGATAATGAACACTGAGGCAAACCGTATTAGATTGCCATTCCTGCCATAACAAAGGTCTTTAAGCATCAAAAACTTTGAAACAAATAGCACAAATGTATTTTCTCATGGTTCTGGGGGCTAGAAGTCCAAGATTAAGGTGTCAGCAGGTTTGGTTTCCCCCAAGGCCTTTCTCGTTTGCTTGCCGACAGCTACTTTCTTGCCATGTCTTCACATAGCCTTGCCTCCGTGCACACTACCCCTATGTCTCTTCCTAAAGCCTCACCTTTATGACTTCCATTTAACCTTAATTACCTTTTTAAAAGCCCTATTCCAAATACACTCACATTGGAGTTAGCACTCCAACAAACGAATTTTGAGAGACACAATAAAGTCCACAATTCAGACCAATTAAGCAAATAATAACAATCTATAAGACGAAAAAAATTAGTTTATCTTCACCAGTAGTTTAAGAAATGCAAATTTAACTACAGTGTAATATCTTTTTGAATTATCATTTTGGCAAGTAATAAAGTCTGTGAGAATAGAGAAGGAATAGATAATACTGTATTTTGAAAGAAGAATGAATTAATTCTTTGTGACAATTATATATTGGTAGTATATGAAAGAGAAGGATAAGCCTAAACTGACTTAGGAGTTTTTCAGCTGGAATGATTGGGAGAATGAATAAAGAGGATATTGTATCCTAGCTATTTGTTGACCTCATAGTAACTCAGTTCTCCCTCAGAGTCAAGACTGAGCCCCTAGCAACTATTTTGAATAAGGTGACTCTACAAAGTTGATTGTACCAAGAATAGGTACCTAATTCCAGTTGAACCAGTGGAATTTTTGACATGAGAATCTATAATTACACCAAATTAAAAACATTAGTCTCTCAGGTGACAGAGCTGTGACATACACTTGTATGTATATTTATATAAAACCTTGGGAGATATAGATTGGCCGTTTTTCTACTAGAGGAATAGAAATAGTGTAGAGGAGGTGGTGAGAAAGAGAGAGAGAAGGGAGAGACAATGATGCTTTCCAAGAGGATCAAAGATGAGATAGAGAAATAGTCCAGATGCAATTTCAGTCTCTTCTTTAAGAATTTTTCCATAGGCCTGGTTTCATTCCTGCCTTGGAGTTCTATAAAATATTCCTGTATCCTTATCACAAAAATTCCCCCACCCCCTTTTTCTTTTGCATAAGCGGCTTGACTTAGTTTTATGTTATGTTAAAACTAAGACCGATAAGAATAAATGAGAAGGAGAATTTAAAGCTGACTTTTATACCTTTCGGCCGTAAGGAATTTATAGAACTTCATACAAAGTGGATCTCTAGGTGTACTGCTCGAAAGTTTCACTTTTTAGGGAAATTTTTCTTCTCCGGTGTTATTCAATGACTTTATGAGTGATGATGTTACACAGCTGCTTCTTATTTTTGACTGGTACCTGCATACCAAGCCAGTTTATCCATAATCTTGCCATAAAAGCTCAGGAATTTTCCTCCTCCTTCAGCTGGCCATACAGTAATCCCTACATAACCATTGGAGTGAAGTGAGAGAGATGTTTTGGGGCAACCTTGTTAAATGGCATGTGTGTCTGAGCTGCCTGTTCATGTAGGCTTATACCCTCTGGTGCTTGGTATTTCAGATGTACCATTATCATCTTTTTATCGATTTATGCTGGGTGGTCTGACTTTGAGTTGAAGTCTATGAGAGTACCTAGCTTATGATGGACAATTCCAGACATCTCAAAAATTAAAATCCCAAGTGTCATGGAGAATAGAATCATATATTCTAAATGCTGAGTGGAACAAAACTAACCTTGAAGTGCATATTAAGGTCCTTGGCTTGTTCAAAAAGATATCAGAGGCACTAAAATTGCTTTAGACTTTGTTACACTTTATAATTAAATACCTATGGAAAATATATTGGTAAATGAAGAAACCAAAGGAAACAGAAAAAAACTTGAAGGGATAAGGTGAAGATTAAAATACTACAATGTTGTAGAACCAAAGTAAAATTGTCAAAAAGAGGTGATCTATAATATCATGGTACAGGTCAAAAACTTGAGGATGGAAGACATGCCTTTTAATGTAGTACTTATTAGATTTTTAGTGACCTTTCAAAGAAATGTTTTACTGTTAACTAGATGACAAAGGGTTAAGGAAGAGTGATTTCACAAAGAAGAAAGAAATATTTGTTAATATTGTCTATAGTGAGTTTTTTTTTTTAAGTAATTGGATTCAGACTTTCCAGAAATGAAGTGAGATATTATCCTATTTTATCTCACAAATACCCCAGACGTTGGATATAGCTTTTCTTCTAGCCTTTTATTTTATTTCCAGGTTTGTTTCTTGCTTTCTTAATAGGTTGCAGATGTTTATCTTCTGGTACCTAAAATGATACAGGTACATAGGATATTGTGTGTACCATGCAGATATTTTGCCACTCAGCTTTATTTACTTGTCTCCCATACCTGCCTTACACAGGGCTCTAGTCTCATGATTACGTCTTCACCTTGAAAGTTGCAACTTAGTCCCGAAAAAGTGCTGTCAAGTATGTCTCTGCTCTCTCTAAACTTGAATCAGTCAATCCACTATATCATTTGATTGTTAGACTGGGCTACCCTATATTTGGCTGTTAGATTTAATACCACTGGATTATGTGTACATGCTTGATTGACCTCTTGGGTATCTCAATTTTTCAGAAAAGTTTTGGTTTAAATGTGTTTTCACTTTGCTTGTTTTTGCCTTAGCTCATTTCACATCACTGTTTTTCTTTTGTATTATCTGGCTTATTATTCTTGGTTTTCACATTTTGAGATGCATAATGTAACTTTTTAATATTTTAATTGCTTATGTGAAGCACTGAATGCTTCATTTAATTAGGGAAGAAGTAATATTTTATAAATGAAGCTACTATAGTAATAGTAACAATTATTAGTTGTAATTATGTCTTAACTAATTTATACTGTCCTTTTCAGGGTTAAGCTGTGAAACTCCCACCTTGGTAAAGACTGCTTCTTATTGATGTTAAAATCTGCTTTGAAAGCAGTAGATTTTAGGTAGC